GGATGAATGATGAGTGGATGAATGGATGGATGATCAGTGGATGGATGGATGGACAGGTGGAAGGCTGATTGATGTATGGATGAATGGATGAATGATGAGTGAATGAATGGATGGATGATGGATAGATGAATGGATGGATGATGAGTGGATGAATGGATGGATGATCAGTGGATGGATGGATGGATGGATGGACAGGTGGAAGGCGGATGGATGTATGGTTGAATGGATGAATGATGAGTGGATGAATGGATGGATGATTGATGGATGGATGGATGAATGGATTAATGATGAGTGGATGAATGGATAGATTATGAATGGATGGATGAATGATTGATGGATGATGGCTTGATATATCAATGGAAGGATGGATGGATAGATAGATGGATGGATGGACAGTTGGATGGATTATGGGTAGATGGATTGATGCGGATGGATGGATGGATAAATTATTGATGGATTATGACTAGATATATCAATGGATGGATGGATGGATGGATGGATGGATGGACAGGTGGATGGATTCTGGGTGGATGGATTGATGCGGATGGATGGATAGATAAATTATTGATGGATGATGACTTGATATATCAATGGATGGATGGATGGATGGATGGATGGACAGGTGGATGGATTATGGTTGGATGATTGATGTGGATGGATGGATGGACAAGTGGATGGATTGATGCGGATGGATGGATGAATTATGGATGGATTATGACTTAATATATCAATGGATGGATGATGATGGAAGGACGGATGGATAGATGGATGGATGGACAGTTGGATGGATTATAGGTGGATGGATTGATGCCAATGAATGGATGGATAAATTATTGATGGATTATGACTTGATATATCAATAGATGGATGGATGGATGGATGGATGGATGGACAGGTAGATGGATTATGGGTGGATGATTGATGCGGATGGATGGATGGACAGGTGGATGGATTGATGCGGATGGATGGATGAATTATGGATGGATTATGACTTAATATATCAATGGATGGATGGATGATGGAAGGATGGATGGATAGATTGATGGATGGACAGTTGGATGGATTATGGATGGATGGATTGATGCGGATGGATTATGACTTGATATATCAATGGATGGATGGATGGATGATGGACGGATGGTTGGATGCAGATGGATGGATGGATGGATGTGGATGGATGGATAGATGATGGATTGAAGATGGATGGATGGATGGATAATGGATTTTATGAATTAATTTGAAGCATTAGATTAGCTTTCTAATCTTCTAACAACAGTCAGGAGGCTTTTTGAGTTAAAATCCATTATATAATTAAACAGATTCAACAATGCAAACAGTTAAGGAGCAACGTGTGGCTGATAAATACTGAACATTAATGAGCTCCCAACTGAGACAGAAGTTTTAGGATGAGAAACTGCTCGAGTTTAATAGATTTTTAAAGGTTTACCCAAACATGACTTATTCCTGCATGCATCCTTAGTCATGTGTGTAATAAGAGTGACCAAAAATGTAAATCACATGGAAAAGCTACAGTATGAGGAAAAAAAACAAGAATTATAATGAGATCAGAGGGATTGATCACCTCAGTTTTTTCACATTTGCTGCTTTTAAATTAGGAGTTTTGAAGTTTTACTGTACAGGTTGCATAAAATGTAATAAATTAACCGTGTATTAAAAGAAAGGTTTCAGGAAACCTTCTACCACTGTAGCATATTACTAGATAATATGATAAACAACTAGAAAACAGTGATGCCTCAGGCTCCTTACCCATGGTGCAAGAAAGTGTAGGAAAAATTCAAGTATGCTTGGTCTACCAAATTTTTCACAGGTAAATAATCTTTTCTTAAGGTATAAGGATTCAAACCTTTTAGAACAGCATTGTAAGTGCCCAGCATGAATGCTTGAATAATGGCTTTGTTAAAAGGTAAAGTATAAAGTGGAAAACCCACCACACATTACTGCATAATGTAAAGAGTTTGGGGAAATTAAACTTTCTCATCTGTTCATGAGGCTGACAAAGATGTGTAGTATATAAGTACTGCATAATGTTCAAAAAATAGATCTGATAAAACACAGACTCAATTTCAATGACTTTATTATTAAAGGATTTTTCTATTTATTTTTCAATCATTTACTTTTGCATCCTTGTCCCTCTGCTCATTTCTCTACTGATCTATTGTTTCAGTCGGTTGGTGTTGTTTGTATTATATATGTGTGAATATTCTCTCTATTCTAAAGCCTGTGTCTGATTTATTTTACATTACTGTGTTATTGTATAAGTAAGCATAGAGTGAGCATTTTATAATCTAAAGTTAAATTCCAAGAAAGTGAAAACAAAGCTTTGAAAAAAAACATTATTCCGATTCTGGTTTATTGCTAAATTGATTTAGATAAATTTCCTTAATTATTTAAATCATTATTTAAAACATAGTTATGTATTTTATCTTACTTTAATAGATTTTGTTGATATGCCTGAATAGCTATAAATGTGACAGGGAAAAGTAAAAACAGAAAAGTTATGGGGAAATCCTATAAAAGCAAGTTTCATTCAATACTTTTCAATTCAATCCAGTGTTACCAGCATGTAAACTGTAGTGGTAGTCATTTGGTCTCTTTCCAATACTTACGATAAAAGAAATTTAAGATTGTCATTTTATATCAAAGGGCTTTATAAGAGGCAATCAAACTGCCTTTAATTATAGAAGGTCCTCAGTAGTTTGCATTACAGGCTTCAAAAGGCTCTCAGTGAAGTATCTTCATCTCTGCTACCTAAAAATCTGTTGGTCCTCTGGTTTTGAACGTAGGGAAATCTCTCTTAACATTTACTAGAAAAAACAAGATAACATTTTTATCATGACATTTATGGTCTCTGGGAGGGAATATTAGCCCCTAAATGCATCCTGTTTTTTTGAATATTTGCTGTTAGTTTGACATTTTGGTGTCATGACTAAAATATTCCTCTCAATTCAACATTAAAGTCAGGACAGCAGATTTATCAGGGAAGACTAGTTTCACCCTTCTTATCATATCCAGTATGTAGCAAAGCTTTGAATTTTGTGAGATTAACCTCATGCTTTGCTGCAACAACATAAGAATATAAAGTGGGTGGAGAAGACAGAAGTGTGAACCCTTTAAAATCACTATGAAAGTACGAATGTTAATGCTGTCATGTCAACGTAAATGTCATGAACAGAGTTAAAAAATACAAAATAAAGATAAAAGCATTACAAATACTGTGGTTCAATAACTAGTCCTTTTTGGCCTTATCAGCTCCTCTAGCAAAGTAGCCCTTTGGTGATTTTTTTTACTCCCCCGAATAAAAAAAACACAAAAGGGCTTTAGACGATTACTTTCTGGTAGCTGACAATCAATCTATATTTATTTTTTTTTAGATTAGTGAACTGGATTAGTGAATGGAGGCATGTTTGACAGCACCTTTTCAAGTCTGCACACATGTGAATGAGGGCCTCAATGTCATTTTGTGACAATGACTTGTGAAACATGCCACTGGAAATACTTCTATTTCCTCTTTTAACAGCTCTAATTTAAAATCTAAGCTACTTAAGTCAAAGCTCTCCTGCTTTTTCGACCACTGAACAACTTGCTTTTTTAAATAAACATTAGCAATATATATTACATTCCCATACATTTATTGGCATTGAGTTTCTTGACTCACTTTTCCCCCACCAAACACACTCCAAATTGGTTAGTATATGTTTTAAACAATGTGGTCTTTTTTTTATTAATGAATTTATGAAGTAACAATAAGTAACATCTGAATTTTAAGTTCTGAAAACAAAGGAATTCCAAATTCATTAACATGTTGGATAATAAAAAGTAACTGCAGTTACCTTGCCAGAAACCAGTTACAATGATTAAGCAGTATTGAGTAACCCCATACGATAGTGGATGGCAATACTAAAATTAACACTAGTGTGATTCTATATAATGCTTCAGAAATGAAATTTGGTGGTGATAATGTATTTATAGTGTACATCATTGGTTATTTTGAGCAGTCATTGCAGGCCAAGTTTCTGACTTGGGTGTAAAAAACTGTTTAAGTAATTTTGCAGATCAATTTGAAAATATAGTTTAAAAAAAAGTTGCAGACTTAACAGTTTATTTACATGTTAGTGTAATGGAGCTTCAGCCTCTCGGCAGTGTCAGGGTTTGGTTGAGGTTTTGAGGACCCAAATGCAGAGGCAGGGAGGCAGAGCAGAGTTCTTGTAGTTTTAATGGAGTGTTCAAAGGAAACGGAGGCAGGAATCTAAAAATCCAACTTATTAATGCAAGACAAACCAAAACTACGGAGACATTAGGGAAGACATGCACTAGAAGCTGGGGAAAGGCGAGGAACCAGCACTGAGGAACTGCACAGGGAGAGTATTTATGGCTGACTGAACAAAGACGGGACCTACAAGCTGATTGGGAGCAGGTGTGAACAGAGGCTTCTAGAAAGGAGCTAGGGAAATGGAGACCAACACAAGAGGGCAACAGTGGGCAATAAAGAAAAACCTAAGAATGCAAATACATCCAGAAAAAACTACAAAATAAGAGTTAAACCAATAAAGACAAAACCTTGCAAGCTTAAATAAATAATTTAGCATCTTATACAATGCAATAATTTCAACCACACAATTAATTGAGAATGAAGGATGTACTCATTACTCACAGCAGAATATAGATGCACAAACTGCAGCTCAGATTGATGGATAAATAAGCAATTGATAAGCAATTATGTGTTTTGAATACTAAATATGAACACGAGTTCATATTTTAATGCTGTAAACAGGATGTTTAGATTGAGTTAAACCAAGTAGAACTGTATTGCCTTCTTATCTCTGTGGTCTTTTCTCAAATTGCTCTCATAGGCATCTGCCCAAAGCAGATGTTGGATACTCAGACTTCCCAGATGTTTTTAGAATTTCCTGCAATGCTTCCAGTAATTTACATATTGTATTGACACGGGGTAATCTGATCTTTCGCTTTGTGCTTCACAGATGGGCTACGATGGTCCTCTCTCTGCACAGGAGCAGATGTTCATCCTATATGAAGCTAAACTGCAGTGCCTTCAGAACCTGTCCAATATGGAACCAACAACCACAGGTAAAAAAACACTTGCTCTAAAGATTATTTGAAACATAACATAAATCTGCCCTTTAAAATCCCTTTATTTACCTTTCAGATCTTTAACCTGCCAAAATGTTATCAAACTTCAGTTATATTTTGTTTTTGTTTTGGCTTTTATTATGATAAATATTGTTTTCACAGGTCTTAGACTTCCTTTTACCACCTTTGCATCTTTACCATCAGTGTATTTTTATGATCATGTTAGACGTTCTGCATTTATGTTCCATCCATCCATTTTCTCTCATGCTTCATCCCTGCTGGGGATGTAGGGGTGTTTAATTCTTAGGATGTTTCTATATAGCTTGGAACTGAAAGCCCGTTCATGTTAATTTATTTCCATATTTAAATATTCATTCTTACTATTTTTGGGATAAAACAATCTTAATATTAATAATTAAATGACATTTAAAGCAGATACCCCACAGCTGAAACTATGTCTATCATAGGGTCATATTAAGGAAAACAATTGTCATTTTTTTCTTTTTTATAGCATGAAGCCAAAGTTCATTATAATGGTAAAGTTGAACGACTAAAAGGAAAGTTAAAATGTGTGAAAGTCTAAACTTGAGACACGTTGAAAGGTTAGAAAAAATGGGAAAAGAGGAAGTTGAAATAATAAAAAATTTAAGTGCTGAGACTGCTGCTTTTATTCAAAGCAGTCTACATCCACAGATGTTTGCTGCAAAATACATTTTTATTTAATTCTTTTTTTTTTTTATAATTTTTATTTTTAAACGTTTTCACAGTATCAAACATACATAAACACAAACGTATACATATATGGGAAGCATGCCATTATTCACAAGACAAGGTTTTAGGTACAGAAACGTATCGCTCATACAAAATCTGACCGTAAGGGTTTTATGTACTCAGTCCATTTAGTCCAGATTTTATAAAACATATCCTTTTGCATCCTGAGGGAGAAAGACAACTTTTCCATGACATATATTTCGTGTATTATAGTGATCCAATCTTCAATAGTTGGAGGTTCCACTCTCAGTCACCTTCTTGTGATGGCCTTTTTACTTGCAATAAGTAACATACCAAGTAATCTTTTATCAGTGTTATTCCAATTTGTCACAGGAACATCACCCAAATACAGTGTTTCACATTTAAAGGGAATTTTAGTACCAAATACATTATTAACATGTTCTCCTATCTGTGTCCAATAATTAGTTAAAACGTGACATTCCCAAAAGATGTGGAAGTGGTTGGCACCAGTGACCCCACATAGACTCCAGCATGCATCCCGACCACCTTGATGACGTTTCTGAATAGGCGTAAGAAAGTACCTGATCATGTTCTTCCAACTGAACTCTCGCCATGTATTCGACCCTGTTATTGTCCACTGAAGCTGACATATATTGGCCCAACTGTCGGGTGGGATAACCATATTTCCCTCCTTTTCCCACCTCTTCTTTATACCTTCTGTGCTGACCTGTGTACATTGCTGAATGCCCTTATATAATCTAGAAATAATATTATTCTGAGAATGAGACCTGGTTAAAGTTAAGAATATCTGTAAGAAACCTAAATCTTTCTTTTCATATATTGTTTTTAAATTTTGGTGGAAATAATGTCTAACCTGCAAATACCTGTAGAAATCATCTTTACCTAAACCATATTTAGTCTGTAGGGTCTCAAAACTCGAGAATGCCCCCTTGTGGATGAAGGAATAATAGGTTGTTAACCCCTTAGATAGCCATCTCTTAAACCGATCATCATATCTATTTGGCACAAACTCAGAGTCGTAAGCACACCACCTCAAAATATTTGACAGTTTGCCCAGTTTACACCTTTTAATGATTTCATTCCAGGAATTTAGCAAAGAATCATACATAAAGTCAGAAGTATACAGTGTGGTCTTCTGTAATTTAGTATCTGCCAATAGCGCCATGATAGGCACATCTTTTATAATATCAACTTCTATGTCCTTCCATCCTGCGGAATACGTTGGCGAATTCAAACAGATTAAGAGTCTAAGCTGGGCAGCATAGTAATACTCCTTAAGACAAGGAAGGCCCAATCCCCCCTTCTCCTTAGCCAATTGAAGTGTTTTGTATTTAACCCTGGCTCTTTTATGTTGCCATATGTATTTTGCCAACATCCTGTCCCAATCGTCAAAATATTTCTGAGGTATTTTAATTGGTAAACACTGAAAAAGGTAAAGCATACGAGGGAGAATATTCATTCTAATTGATTCCACTCGTGAGTATAAGTTTAAGAAGGGAACAGTGTTCCACCTCTGTAAATCAGATTTTACCTTCGAAGTTATGGGTCCGTAGTTAGCATCGACCAATTTAGATAAATCCTTTGTCAGAACTACTCCCAAATATTTAATGTACTCTGAGTCCCAATTCCATTTGTACATGTTCTTAATTCTAGTGGATGGATTAAAATTTAAACGTAATATCTGGGTTTTGTTAACATTAATTTTGTATCCTGAGAGTGATCCGTATTCCTCACACTGCATGAAAAGTGGGATTTTCGTCAATATGCGGCACTGTAGATTGTCGTGGAACTTCAGGTTAGCGGCAGTTTACGACAATTTGCAGGCTTCGCCGAAAACTCCCGTAAATTGTCAGAAATTGACGTGGACTCTCTTAGGCAGTGTTCCCCCCATGCCTCCCCCCCATGGAATTCTAGGGGAGGCTTTAACATGTAAATGAACATGCTGTGAGCTATACAAATGCAAACCAGGGTTGCAGGGGGGGGTTTACACCAAGTGACATCTTTCTGGGTAAGAAATTCTCTGATACAAAGAGATCAGGCTTAGTATAGCCTCTTCCGTTTTAGCTTGAATTGATTTATTTAATTAAAGTATAGAGACCAAAACAGATCTTTAGCTGACAGAGCAATACATTTAGAGCAGTAATTATAAAAAAAAAAAATTGCATTTAAGATAAAAAATAAAATGTTGTCTGTCAATATGCTCAATTCACAATTACTTAAGTGGAAAAGTTTCAAGAAATGAGTCTGAGATGATTTACTTTATAACATGGCGCATTATCCTGTTGGAAGTAGCCATGAGAAGATTGGTACACTGTGGTCATAAGGTCCGGCCAGGTCAAGATCCGCAATTGCAATCGCACCAAACAGGAAAAAGAACATCGACAAATTCCGGTTCGTCAAATTAAAATATAGCAGCAACAGATCGGTGACTAGAAATTATAGCACAATTCTTATATATATATATATAAAAAAAAAAAAAAAACTAACACCGTTTATTTAAATGATTGGATCCAAACTATTGGTTATTCACCAACGAGGAAGCAGATTTCTCATCTCCATCAAAATATTTATTTTATACCGAGGGACTTAAACTTTAATCAAATCCATTCAAAAGAAACTTCTTATTACAGGAATGAAAAGAGATGCTGAGTTTGGAAGTAGTGAACAAGTTCATTAAAAAAAAAGCAGTTTTGAATTATCCTTATCCCCGTTACAAAAATCTACATATATATTTGGGCAGAAACTGAACATATGCTGGATGATGGTGGGATTTTTTTAATATGTCATATTAAATTAAGCACTCACAGGGTTCATACAGGAATGAGTGACTCTAATTTAATGCTATTTTAATGCTATTTGAAATGATTTTAATGCCATCATCAAGAACCATGCACACAAGTTATTAGTGTACATGAAATATGAAGGAGCTGCAAGCAGAGTTCCATGACTCCTGTATGTATGTAAACACACACACACACATATATACGTATATATATATCCTCTAGCTTTTTCTCCGCCTGGAGCGATATATCTGACGAAATTGTTTTTATAAGCATTTTTTATTAAAGAATTATAAATACTTCGATAAACATATTTAAATAATTTTAGTGCCAATTAAGGCCTTGATAAAAAAAAAAAAAAGAATGATTTTTTAATTATTTTTATTGATCCGCGGACACCCTGGTTCATCTCGCGCATGCTCCCTACGATCTCCAAGAAACTCAGAACGGCGGTGTGCAGCCACATTGGAGGATGTATGCTTTGCTTTGTGCAGCGGTCTGGAGCTTCTGGATTTCGGGGTAAAACTCCTCTTGGACGCGATGGCGACTCTGCATCGAACAAGACGAACTCAAAGAAGAGATGCTAGCGGTAAATATATGTTCGATTACTGCCTGCTAAGCTAAAAGCAGCCTAGCCTAAGCTACCGGCTAATAGCGGCTAATAGTAGCCTTGCTAGAACAAGCTTTATTAAAGTGTATTTTTTGTGATTTACAGGAAGCAGTACGCCGTCTTCACAACTCGGAGACTAATTGCAGGCGCTATGAACCGGAGCAAGGGTAAGATTTAAAGAATATGCTTTCATTCTGTGGTAAAAGGCAATGGATACGGATGGATACCGATCATAGCTTTTACATTTTGTTTTCACAGACCTCCCATCTCGGCAAGTCCAGATTTGCACGATGTTGATAAAGACGACATTGTGTGTAAGTGACTTGTTTTAATGTTTTCTCCTTCCTTGTTACTGTGACTTGCGTTTGATTTTTTATTTATACCACTCTCATTTAATTGTTTTCCAGCTGCCTGTAAGACGTATTTTCAGACGGTACGCAGGAGCTTCAGATATACGCAGCCAGCCACACGCTGCGTGCGGAGGCTATCTGCTCGGAGTCGGGCCAGAAGAAAGAGGGTAAGACTTTATTTGGGGACTATTTTTCAGGTGCATTAATAGATGTGTTGTGTCCATACGCAGTGCGCTGATTCATTGTTTTTTTTTTCAGCTGCTGAAAGCGAGGCAGAGTGTGCTAGCAGATGAGGAAGTGGAACTCTGGAAGTCCGCCACCTTCGGCCTCATGTCCGACGAAGAAGATGGCGTCGTTGGCGGTGTCTCTGGATGGATTGTACGGTCGCCACCATTTCGTAGGCCGGATCTCACTGAACTCTGTGTTAAGCTGCAGTCCCGGTTAGAAGCGATGCCGAAGTACAGGGCCACGCACACTAGGCGTCTGCACATCGGACCTGCCTCG